TACTTCAAGGGTGGTGGGCCTCGTCCAATCAGGTGACGGTTTTAAAAGCAAACAGCACGGTTTCTCAGAGAAATAATTCTGCCTCAGGTGTGTACTATCTAGCACGTGCCGCCTGCATCTCCAGGTCACTCACCTGCCCTACAGGTGTCACACGGACCAGCCCCACCATCGTATGAGCCACTTCCTTTCCATCTATCATATTCATGTGTATTTTTTGTATGTATGTCCACCCATTTTTCTCCGAATATGTATCTGTCTCTCCTTCTGTGTATCCACCCACATACATTGTTTCCTCTCTTCTGCATGTATCTTTCTATACGGATATACCTGTCTCTGTATCTATATGTATCCATATTTCCAGACACATCTGCTCTCCCTGTAAGCTTTGTCCTCATCAACAAACACAACACCACGTGAGCTGCGGTTTTTGCAGGACACTCTCCTTGGCTTCTAAGACTTTCCACAGGTCCCCGCTGCATATGCGCTTGTGGCCCTTCACGGCCACGTTCACTCCCTGCGTGGGACTGGCTTCTTGTCTCAGCAAGACCTGTATTAGACCCTTCCCTCCTTCTTACCTTCATGTGGTTGGGCGGGCGGGTGGCCTGTGGGGTTTCATATTCACGTGTCTCAGAAGTCAAGGTGCAGAGTTGGTCTCGGCATCCTCGTGAGAAGTCCCCTCCCATCCCCGCCCATGCCTGCAGACGAAGGTGTCCACGTCCTGATCCATGTCTGGTGGATGGAACTGTGTCCCCAAAGACGTCCACGTCCCGATCCCCACATGGTGGGCGGAACCATGTCCCAAAGACGTCCACATCCCGATCCCCAGAACAATGTCCCCAAACATGTCCACATCCCGATCCCCACGTGGTGGAAGGAACAATGTCCCCAAAGATGTCCATATCCCAATGCTCAAGTGGTGGACGGAACCATGTCCCCAAAGACGTCCACGTCCCGATCCCCACATGGTGGGCGGAACCATGTCCCAAAGACGTCCACATCCCAATCCCCAGAACAATGTCCCCAAACATGTCCACATCCCGATCCCCACGTGGTGGAAGGAACAATGTCCCCAAAGATGTCCATATCCCAATGCTCAAGTGGTGGACGGAACCATGTCCCCAAAGACGTCCACGTCCCGATCCCCA